CCATGATTATCCCATGAAGAGAGGGCCTATGAAATACAGTCTTCATTTTTCTTTGTAATTTCGAATTCTGTTCTTACAATATTAATATAAAAAAGAATTTCAAGCAATATAAAGCATTGTGAGCCATGTTTCTATTAGAATCATAGCTTTGGAATTCATTGGTTTGGGTCCTATGTGACAACTTTCAAGTATTTGAAGATTAACCATGGACAGGAATCAGACACCCCTGAAGAAATGCTGATGGGCTGAAAACCTTCCCCTCAAGCAGAACATGAGTTACTGAGCAGGAGGCAATTAGAAGACCCTATCATCGTGGTGTGAGAGTCTTGGGAAGACTTTCTAGTTGGAAGGAAGGAGTCCAATGGAGATACTATGGGACCTGCCAGAATATTGGAACAACATGTCACATATCAATCTCTTAAGGCAAACCTTTCCTGTCAGCGTGAACAAATATTGTTCCCAGCAATGTGCAAAGCCAAAGCAAGCAAACATAAATAAATAGATAACACTAAGTAAAAGAAATAAAGATGACTCTGGAAAAGGGAGAATGCAATATATGGACAAGTCACAGCAAGTATACTTGCATCACACATCTCACAGCTTTCATCACTGCAAAAACCCAATGTACATCTACTTACTAGGTATCTTTTCTTTTTTGGCACACAAATCTGATTCAAAATGGCAAAAGGAAACAATTCCATATCTAATTAGGCAACAGTTGTCTTTCATGAAATTATACATCTAACATTAGTTTCAGCTGGCATTAAAACACCTTTATTTGCAAATTTCTCATCACCAATTCAGAATGGTCAAGCACTGCACATGGTATGGATGTTTTGTAATTGGATCGCCTGATCAGGACCAGCCCAAGTGGTGAAGGACAAGATGGCACCCTCCCTCCCATTTCACATACGAAAGCCAACCAAACTGATAGTTTAATCTTACTTCAATGCTGTCAGCAGCAGAACATCCTCTACTGCACCTGAGGAAAGCAGGCTAGCTTAAGGAAAGCAGAACAGGTTTCATGGCTCTGCCCTTCAACAGGTCCTCACCCATCTTTGCCCCTTGCCTTTGATGCCTGAAATGACCACCTCTTCTAACAGTAGGACTAGCCTATGCTCCTGATGCTGTTTAATTTCTCCAAAACCAGGCATGGCCCCTTCAATTTAGTTTAGGGCTACAGTGAGGGGCACTGACCCTCTGCCTTGCACTACTGCCTTCACCTAAACTACCCCTTCCAAAGCTGGTATCAGCTGCAGAGGGGAAAACTTAACAGACTTAAGAGTTTAATCCATACAGTTCTCTTTTCACAGCTAAGAGCACCTTGGAGGAAGGGGGATACTGGCTACTAATTAATGTGGGGAGGAACCCCACCCTTATCCAAATTACCCCTTCCCCCAGATGCTTTTAATAAAATAAGAGGCTGTTCCAACAATGGAACTTCCACGAACATGTAGGCTGACTCTCCTTTCTGCAGGGAGAAGAGTATCGATGCAGCACGCTATTGTTCTCCAAAAAAAGGAGGAAGATGCTTTTTATTTATTTTTTGCCTTCCAAGAAAAAACAGCATTTTAAGTCAGGGTGGGGAGGCCAAGGCTCAAAGGCCAGATGCAGCCTGTGGCTCCCATCCTTCCATGTAGGGTTATTTTCAGGAGCTTCACAGCTGGGGAAGGAAGGCTTAGCCTTCCCCATGCACTGTAACTTTCTACGGAATATGCCCTACACACTGCAAGTAGATGTGTGTGGTGGGAAATTCCTATAAGAACTAATAGAAGGTACAGTATTTTTAAGTCTAAATGTGTACAGGTGGGAGGTGGGAGTGAGAGGCTGGAACTGTGCATGACAAAACAGGTGTGTGAGGGAGTGAGAGGATGGATGGATGTGTGTTGTGTGCAAGTGTGGTTTGTGGGCTGGCCACACCCACTTTGGTCTTGGCCACGCCCAGTTCTGGAATGTGGCCCTCAGGCTGCAAAAGCTCGCTGCAAGGCCACAGGCACAAGAAAATGGTTGAAATTAGATCGTACATAAGAAATCTGCATCAAAATTATAAAATTTACAAATTCTGAATTTTTAAAAAAGTTTTGGTTTCAAATTCAGGTTTATATGAAGCGCTCACCATTGCTCAAACCTGCTTGTGTCTTTGAAAATGTTTACTAACAGCTGTCAAAATAACCAATTTGTAAATACTTGTGTTTTCAAGCAGCTTTAATTTTGACCATTTATGTGACAGTGGTTTGTGATATTATGCTACTGAAGTGGTCAAGTGTGCTAGCTGATCCATAGTATTTATTTAACCTTAGTATTGTCTACAAAAGTTCATGAATAATTGTTGTGTTGCGTGTGTACAGTTTAAGGTGGTGGGAGAATACTTTTCAGCTCTCGAAAGGAATGATTTAGAAAGAGGGGATTTAACAACAAGATACTCCTGACCGCATCTATTAATCAGCAACCATTTAAAAAACATGTCTACATCTCATTTCCTGCAGTTGCATGCACAGCATTATCAGATGGAATAGTTCTGTGAAGATTTCTCTGATACTTTACCACGAAACCTTGTTTGCTATTTGTCTCTTTAATCAGAAAAAACATGTGGTTTTAAAATAACTGATCCAAAGGCATAACTAATCCTAACTAAACAATGCAAATTCTCTTACCTTGGGCTTAAATGCAATGAGTTTCAGAAACATTTCAACAGTAAACACTGCAGTAAAAACCATATTTAGAATATCCATTGCATCATTAAAAGGTTTAGACTGCCCATAGTGCTGCAAATGAAACAGATGAGAAGACTATTCAGAATATTTGTAGGCAGTAAATAAAAACAAAAAACAAAAAACCCCCTTAGTTCTTTTCATAATCTTGAACCAATGAATGTTCTTGTGCCTTTAACACCTGCACAAGGCTTCATCCTTAAATTATACAAGCAATTAGAATTCTGAATTATAATTAAGTCTACTGCAAAGTGGCTTAGCATTAGTTTACATTACAGTTTCCATGTGTATTCTGTGCCTGTGAGTAATTGGCAGTTTGTTCAATTCCTACCTGCATAGCCAAGCATAGTGTGTTCAGCATGATGAGGACAAACATGATGTATTCAAAGACAGTAGAGTTCACCATATACCAGAATTTGTATTGGTATGGGTTTTTTGGAATGTATCTACGCAAAGGTCGAGCTTTCAATGCATATTCCACACACTGACGCTATAAAAGGCAGAAATTTCAAACATGGCAGTGAGGGTCACAATTTGACTGGAAATAACATCAAAACAAGCTTCACATCAGAGAAGTAACCTAAGATACCTCCATTAGATGCAGGCTACCTCACATGTGGAGGGGTTTCCTATTTCTGAAACAATTTATTTATGAAAGAAAGACATGAATGTGTAGTATGGCCATGGTCAACTTTTCAGTTGCCTAAGTCTGCATGCTGCACTCTACCGCTATCCAATGATTGTTCATGAGGAAATTTACTCTTTAATAGAAATAAATAAAATGGAAGAGCATCCTCTTATGAAACAACAGATACTAGACGTTGGTTTCCATGTTAATAACATTTTAAAAGTGTATTCCTTATTACCTGATTTTTGTCCAGTTCACAGTTCTTGTATTCTTGTTCTCCCTGTTCTTGAAATGTGACGATGACAAAACCAACAAATATGTTCATCATGAAGAAAGCAATAATGATGATGTAGATGATAAAGAAAATAGAGATCTCCACTCTGTAATTGTAGATTGGACCTATGTTCTCTCCATTTGAATCTATAGCTTTATACAGAAGCCTGCATATTTTTTATTAAAAAAAAAAATAGAAAGAAGGTGATTTCAAGTAAAGAAGACTGAAAGTGTTAATTCTAGTTGCAATTGGCAGGTGGGAACTATGAAACAAGACTATTGTATTTACACATTTTGCAAAAGTTTCACCTAATTTAAAGTAAAAATGCAGAGGTTTCAATTTATATTTTTTAAAGCTTTATTTAAAGACTAAATTATCTATTTGGAAAATCATCAGGAAATTTCACTGATCTTCCTAAGTGGGGAAAAAACCTCCAGGATAAATAATAAAAAAGTTATTAAGACATGTCCTCACTTCTCATTACCTTCAGTGAGAGTCAAGGATCCTAGTCCTTCCAAAAGTATCATGCCGAAAGGAAGATGATGTCCAACATAAGCAGCTGCTCACTATTTAAAAATAGCAGCAAAGACCTTCATAAATGGTATACTTACGCAGGCCATCCTTCAAAAGTAGAAACCGTAAAAAGAGCCATCATAGCAGTAAGCACGTTGTCAAAGTTGAAATCACTGTTCTGCCATACTCTCTCTCTCACCATTGGGCTCTCCACATCTCCATCTTTATAAACAATAAATATTCCCCTACAGGAGGAAAAAGCAGATAGCTACTGTGGAAATGCAATGCTTTTTTTAAAAAAACCCACCAATTCAGGCAGATTAAGAGGAAAACATTCGTACCGACATTCCACAGGGTTTTGTTTTGCTTCATCTGTGCACCGATAGAACTTTCCCTATGGATAAAACAGAACATGGAAGTAGAATCCATGGCACAGAACCATTAACTACTCTTATCTTTTTTTACATGCATCTCTACTGGAGTTCAATACGGCTTGCAATAATTTACTAGTGCAGTTCTCTGGGCAGGACTCTGGAATTGCTAGGTTTGAGGCGGGGGCAGGGTTGGAATTCTCTTCTTACCTTAAAGAGCTGGACTCCAATACATGCAAACATGAACTGGAGCAGAGTTGTAACAATCATGATATTACCAATTGTTCGGATAGCGACAAAGACACACTGAACAACATGCTGTGGGGAAGTCAAGAAAATAAAGGGTCAGTGCAATTTTCGTTGGGTGTTTTCATCATCATGCTCAATGAACTTGCATTTCATTAATTATTTTTTACAATGCATGTCATAGAATCATAGCATTATGGAGTTGGAAGGGACCGCAAGGGTCATCTAGTCCAGCCCCCTGCAATGCAGGAATCTTTTGCCCAACATGGGGCCCAAACCCATGACCCTGAGATTAAGCATCTCATGCTTTACTGACTGAGCTCAGAACTAAGTGCCACTTGCTCCTAGATAAATGTGTATACAATTGCAGCCTAGTAAATTAAGAGATCTCATTGGCATTCCAAACAATGCTCTTTCAATTTCATCCTCAGAATTTGTAAGCAACAAGGAGCAGCATCTTAAAGGGTGATCTCACTGCTCTTTGTGGTGTTGCTATCCCTACTAGGCAATCTGAAACAGCTTCCCTAGAAGCTAGCAGTGTGATCCTAGAAATGCCAACACAAAAGCAAGCCCTATTGAGTTTAGTGGGACTGACTCCCATGAAAATGTATAGGTTTGCAGTCACAAACCTTTACAACTAGAGCAGATGGAAAAGGTTTTCTGTTCCCTAAGCTGCCTCAATGTAAATATTTCCGTTGCTCTGCAATAGCTGGGGCAAGGAAGAAGGTGGGCAAGGAATTTGATAGGACCAGATCCAGGGGAAACGTGGAATAACAAGCAGCATACCACTCAGAGGAAAATGAGAAGCAGAAACCCTCTGTGATGCATGATGGCTACAAAGGAGACCCCATTAGGGTTTGGGGGAAGGCACACTATTTAACAACAAAGGAAGAGGGTCTTTTCAGCAGTGGTACCCAGTTTATGGAATAGCTTCCCTAAAGATGCCTGCCTTACACTTACACGGCAATCAGTACACATTTTGGTGTATGGAAATGAATAAAATGTTGCCGAAAAGCAGTTGCTGAATGTTGCTGAAAAGCAGTTTTATTCTAGGAAGCATAAACATTGGCTCCAAAGCCCCCATGACTTATTCATGTTTCTAACATGAATTAATGTTTCTAATAGTAAATGCCAACTAATGCTTCTAATGTTATTTGTTTGTAGTTCAGAAAAGAAAATTCAGGTAACAACCTTAAGTCCTTTTGCTCTGTTTATAGCCCTTAAGGGTCTTAAGACTCTTAAAACTCTCAGAATCTTCACAACTGAAATGGCGCTTGATCTAGATGAAAAGTAAAAACAAATAAAGCATTAACTTGCCATCCCTTAATTTCATTCCTCAGCTCTGACAAAATTAGGTCATACTCATGCACAACAGCTCATCACTTTTGAAATAATTTTATTTACTTATAGGAGTAAGTATTAGTGTATGAGTTATTTCCATTCTTCCTTCCCCTCCTCTTCTCCTTTGCTAAATAAATAAACCAACAGGGTGCTCAAGGGGGTTCTCACAAAGTGATTTCAGCAACTTGTGAGTAATCTATCTATCCTAGACAGGGCTGAGTATACTCCACATTTATAAAACAATGGTTTCAAAATAAGTAGCTGCAGAAACAGTTATAGACCAGACTCCAGTCAGGTTTGTCTCCAGCATAGGGATTGTGAACCATCATAGAATCAAGCAGGAATGACACCCCATTTGCAACCTGTAACCTTCTAACTAGCACTGTGGGGAATCTTTCCTTGTTTTCTTCTCCTGTTCTACAGAGATTTTTTTTAAAAAGAAAAGAAGTCAGACAGATTCAAAATCTGCACCCTCTATTGGAAGAATTTTCATCACAGTCATAAGGACAAATCACTTAATGAAACCTGAAGCTTGCAATAGGTAAAAGGCCAGTTCCCAACATTTTGTCACTACTTGAGATTAAGAAACAGAACTCAGGATGGGGTATACAGATGCAGGGTCAAGAAAATGCAAATAGAGTCAGGATTGGTTCACAATGGGAAGATAACAGATTTAGCCTTCAGTTCCATTATGTCCCACAGCACACCTTTTTAACTTATTCTTGTATAAATCACCGGCTGTACAGGGACCCTGTACTATTCTGGATATTCCTTTGCTAGCATTTTTCTAGTTATTAAACTACACACTGCAAAGGCGAACATTCCCTTGTTTCCTTTCCTCAAAGTATAGCTATAAGATTAACAATTTGTTAATGGTCTATGGTTTTAAGCTTGTTCAGTCCAGGAACTATGGCAATTGTCTGCTTGTTGGTAGGCCAGTTATTAAATACAAAAATGAGTGCTACTTGTGTACCACATCGCAGATACACATAACAAGGAACAGCAGCAGCCCATAATATATTTATTGAAATACTTACTGAATGCCAAATGACACAAGAGACACACCCACTACCAACAAGTCCAGCAAATTAAAGTAATTTCGGCAGAAAGATCCTTTATGAAGGAATGCTCCAAACACTGTCAGCTAAAAACAGAAAGGTCATAGTTAATTATTTTGTTTCACCTCTGCTTGATTCACAAGGCTGTTTACAAGATGCTTGCACTGAATGAATCTTGCTTAGTGGAGAGACTGGAATACTACAAAAAAGAACCAAAATTAAAGAATTTGATTGATGCAACACTAATGCACATTTTGTCTTTGGCTATCCACAATACAACACTGATAAATAAAATACTGTGGACTGAAAAATGCCGGCGCACACACAAAATGCAAGCCACCAGAAACTACATTCATGAATCAGTAGCAGATGTTTCCTTTTGGTTACATAATGCTAAACAGCTAGGTTCTGGGTTTTTGATGTGTTCTAATTTTAGGGCACAATTCACTTCAAATGGCTATAGCACAATGTAGCATCCACTAGAACAGGGGGTGGCTGACCCCTGGTCTAGGGGGAAAATGAGCAGGCAGGGGGCCATAGCACAGTTCAGGTGAGGAGGGGGTCTGTGTGTGATCTGTGTGTGTGTGTGTGTGTGTGTGTGCGCGCGCGCGCATGTGCGTGTGCAAGTGAGAGTCGCATGCACCATTGGTGCATGGTCCCTGGGCAAGGCTGAATGAGACCCTTGGGCTAATAAAAGGTTAGCAATCCCTGCACTAGAATGGGGAACAGCTGTGTTATAATCTAAACAATCTTTTTTACACCATATATCCCTTTATTTCAGTCCCCCTAATATCATGCTAAATAGTTTCCCACTTTCCTGGCAAAACATGCCAACAGAAGGGCTAAGAGAGATGCCCTTTTCAAAATAGCATGCTCTGAAATGCTACGCTGGTAGAAATATGAAACACATTCAGCACGTTTTAAAAACTAAAACTAAAAACCTTATCCCTTATCAAACTGAGCATATCTTGTAAACAGCCCAAATTAGTTTTATTATCAAGTGTTAAATCAAAATGCACTGTAAAAAGAACACACAATAATATGAATAAAGCAGGAAATAGATTTGTTATGTTTGATCCTCAGCTGGAAATGCAAAGTTAGTTTATGTACTGATTCTTATAATACCACTGGGTCCTGTGTCATATCCAGGAATACTCAATAAGTAACTTGAGATGGAAGTGGCTACAACAGATGATCCCAATCTTGAAGGCATCAAAATGCATGCTCACATTTTCTATCTGTTCCTCCTTATTCTGCAATGGTGGAGCAGCTTGACTTCAGCATCAGTTGTGCACCAATGTAATCTGTACATCAGAATTCTGAGCGCCCCTGGTGGATGTCCTTGATAATCAGTACACAGACTATACATTGAAATACCAGTTCTGAACTCATGCATGGGCAATACATTTAAGTAAGCATGTTCATGCCTCTTCGTGTATTTAAATGTATACCCAAGATAAAGCATCCTAGTAGGTTTTAGAAAGGGTAGAGTATCTTGCAAGTCCCTTTGCAAGAAAATAGTGGTCTACTATTTTAACTCTGTGAATATATAGTTCAGAAAGAGAAATGAGTAATTACATGCTCCTCCTTTAAAAGATTTAAGATCTTTCTCTTTGAAATGCCAGAAAAGGGAGGAGGAAAGCTCATGCGTAGTGAAATAGTTTTCCTTCTTCTGACAAACCGGAAGTAGAAAAAAAGGATAAAATGAGCTGTCAGATTGATGTGATGATAAAAAAGTAGCTTCTACATGCACCCAAAGGTAAAATAGAATAAAAACCATGAAGAAAAATATCCTTTGGTTTCAAAAAAAGGTTTAGATTTGGTTGTTGAGTGAAAAGGCGGAGAACACTTCAAGTGCCTTTTCGTGGCAGGTGACACACAGAAAAAAATCCTTTTTAAGTAAACTTCTTTGTAAACCTGTTACCTTCAAAATGATCTCAAATGTAAACATACTAGTGAAGACATAATCTGCATACCCTAGGATCTGGAAGGTAAACAAAAAGTTACAAACATTATTGCTAAAGCTGTGTCTGAGTTAACAAGGATCAATTAACAGTTAATTACCTTTAACAGGATTTCAACAGTAAAGATGGCTGTGAAAGCATAGTCAAAGTAACCAAGTATCTGCAAAGCATAACATGTGCCACAGTAAGAAATTCATCTACAAATACTACCAGAATTTACAACTTTGATCACATACAGAGAAATGTCTACTTTAGGAACATGTGTAAATTTAGAGAAATAAATAGATGTACAATGACAAAACAACATTTATTTGTTTCACTGAAAATTGCCTCACAGTTGTCCTAATTCACAGATTTGCTTACTTCTAAAGTTACCACTTCATCTTTCAATGTCCCCCCGAAGTACAGGTGGCACCTGGCAATTTGAACAAATTGTTTTCCTTACAGCAATTACTGTATTGGACCCAGACTTTTGCCCTTGGTGGTTGGGAAGGCTCCTTCCATTTATGGAAGGCTTTTGGTCCATCAGATGATCCCACTGGGAAAATGGTGAGGGATTCTGCATATCCCCCTCCCCCTACAGACCCCAGCAGCATCTCCTACACTGTTCCAGTGGATTTCCTAAAGCTTCTCCACCCACCCCTGGACAGCGTGAGATAAAATGCTGGTGGGATGCAGGTGAAGTGGGAAACGGCAGAAGTCACCTCCCTGGTGCAGGATCATACACCAAGTAAAATTCTGCCTGGGTGATGCTCTCAGAGCCTAGGAGTGACATTTGGATTCAACCCATTATGTTTTATTCATCACAGTGTTCTTGTAAGAAATGCAAACAAATTATTAACAGGTGCAACTTGTTCTCGGAACATAATATAATCACACTAATGAAACAATCTCTGCATTGTTTAGGTTTTGGTTCTTATCGTATAGAGAGTACTGAATATTCAAATATTCTGAATGAGAATACATTACTAAGCCATCTTGATGTGGTTGGAAGAACCTTCAGAAATTCTCTAAACACATGGAGTCCTTTTTGCACAGATCACAGGGCAAACTTTTAAGGGTATATCTGTATACTGATGTGTCCATGGAAAAAAAGATACCCATTTTTGCCAATTAAAAACATTTCAATCAGGCGTTGTCATGTCATCATGTTACAGCATGAATTTATCTTCAAAACAACATTTTCTCAAAGTTGCAAGTGTGACTGATAGACATTTGAGCAATTTCTTCTATATGAAAAAACAAGAGTTCATGCCGCTTGCAAAGACTCTCCTATTTCGTGTTCACGAGCTATTTATTCATCCTAACATCTATATACCCAAACATAGTTTCCTATAAACCCAAGAAGACTCATTTCAGCTTTGGGATGCTTCCTTGACATATATACAATTTGGCTGTAATAAGTAGTATAACTCAATCCATCCAACAAATGCGGCTTGTGCAATTACCTTCCACTATGCCACTCACCTCTTTGGAAACAAGAGGAGCCAGCATCCAAGTCCCCTCTTCCAGTCCATAAAAGGGGATGAGGGGAGTAGAAGAACGGATTCAGATTCCCACCCCAAACAGATGATCAGCACTATCAAAACAGACAGCACCAACCATCTATTCAGCCTTGCATGTGGAGCTCTGTAACCACTTGTACCTTCTGTGCATGAAGCTGCCTACTGAGCTTGTACATGAGAAAGCTTTATACCAAGCATGCTGGGTTGGGATGTCTGCCACTTCAGGCAAAGGGCTAAACTAAATAATAGCAGCTGATTTAAACCTAGTGTAGAAAACATTTCTCCATAGGCACTACCTATTACACTGTTACAACTAAAGATCTTGGTGCTTACATGTAATAAAATCACACCAACCTTGAATGGATACAATTATTCTAACAATGCCTTCTGTTGGCAGGACCATACCTACGATTTTTTCTTCTCTGCATACATACACAATATTTTTAAGGTGAGTTTTTTTAAAGGAATAAGTGTTTTTCCTAGAATGGTGTTAGAGAGGTTTTCTCATTTATTTTCTTGTTTAAATGGAAGGTGAGAAAATATATAAATGGAACTCTATAGGGAGAGAGAGAGAGTTTCTCGTGTGTGTGTGTGTGTATGAAATACTTTAAAAAGCTGGAGAAACACCCTTTCATCACTTGACCAAATATTTCTGCCACAAATATATAAAAAAGTATAAACTGCTCACCTCCAAAAACAGGAGGTGGTCTCAGGTCCCAAATATCTGGAAGACCGTCCCCTTCCCTACAGACCCCCTTGGGTGTTAAGATGAGCAGAGAGGGTCCTCTTGGTAGTTCCATGACCCTCAGAAGTTCCTTCTCTGTGGCAGCTCCAAATTATGGAATTTCTTCCCCACAGAGGTGTGTGGCATTTTCATTATGCAGTTTCCATCATATGCTGAAGATGCACCTCTTTCCCCAGGCCTTTTGACACCTGGCATATGTATTTTTAGGACCCACCCTATTCTGGCAATAGTAGTTTGTTTATACTGTTTTAATATTGTATTTTAAATTGTGGTGACCAACCCTGGGACCTTATGCTAAAGGGCACGTAATAAATTGAATAAATAGGTAGCATACAAATGCACCCTTGATTTGAAATTACCTTTTTGTAGCATTTATTATTTTGTAGAATATGCCTAGAATATGCCTTTTTTATTTTAGAAATAAAAAATGAACGCTATAGACAATATTTATAGCAGCATTTGTACATGAGAGTTGCATACAGCATATTATACACCCACTTTAAATAGAAGCAAAATCTATGTTTAGCTGTATTGCAGACTGCAGTTTTTATATGCTTGTCCCATTTCATTTTCTAATGTTGAGGTTAAGGGAGCGGACAACATGGTGTGGAGGCTGCAAACTAGGAAAGAGGGGAAGGGACAAGGCAGTGGAGAGGTCAGTACTGTGCAAACACAATAGCAGAGCCAAGTTGGTACTACTGCCAGTGAGTTTGCACCATAGCAACCTCCCCACTGCCTCATCCCTTTCCTTCCCTGGAAGCAACAGGGCTCAGCTGTCAGGAGGTCAGGTGAGCGCCACTACCACACCACATCATGTGCCACTGCCGTCTAGCTCAATACTGGTCCATCTAGCTCAATGCTGTTTCATGCTGACCAGCAGCGGGTCTGCACGGTTTCAAACAAAGAACATTTCCAATACCCAACTAGGAATTTCTACATCCTGAATATTATTAGTGTTGTAACTGAGCTAATGAAGACCCCTTCACTGTAAAAACAAAAACAACAACTGAGGCTACTCTATGACTCCAGGCTCCAACCACAACAAATCTCAAGTTGGTTCCAACATCCTGTTGAACCTTAAGAAAATACCCAAATGCTGCTTAATTTCAAAAAGCTATGCTTATGTACCGATCTATTATATTCATGGTTTGCTCCCATTCTGAAGGGACCATTTTAAAGACGATGTAGCATGCAACTCTTTTGGGGAGTCTGTTTTTTCTTACGTTGTTGCGAAAAGAATGACTGCGAATTGGATCTTCTGCTGCAAGGGAAGCACTGCTAAGCATGATGAAGACAAGGATGAGGTTGGTGAAAATGTGGTGGTTGATCAGCCTGTGACATCCCACTCGAATCCTGAAGAAAAGAATGACAAAACAGAACAATGACATTACAAGTGGGAAGTTAACTGCTCCTGAAGCTTAAAACTAAGCAACTGCAGAGCTTTATTTTTTTTTAAAGTTGTTCGTCTGGAAAGCAGCCACGTTGTCTTGTTAACTGCACTAGTAATTTTGGAAAATGTACATTTATATGTATTATATAGGACAGCATATGTGAGTATCTTATGGAAAGCGGCCAAATTTTATAACTTGGACAATATTTTTTAAAAAAACACACATTTGTATATAGCTGCTATTCAGACCATGTTATTCAAGTAATACGTAATCATTTAAACAATCTACTAGAAGTTTGGTTTGCAAAGAAATCACACATCTGAAAAAAAGCTTTGTATGGTCATTCTGTTGCTTTTTTGTTGTTGTTGCAGCCAGAAAAAAGTGTTGCTATTTTATACGGAAGCCTCAATGTGGTAGTACTATTTAATAACAAACAATTCAAGGGATACACATAAAATGGTTATTTACGGGTTTGTATTGCTGAAAATAAAGAAGGAGCTTCCTTCAGGAATTGGTGTCATCTTTTCCTTCATATTCAGTTCAGATATTCTTCGGGGTCGGGGGCCAGCTGGCACTTCAGGTTCTTCTTCTTCCTCTTCCTCTTCACCTACTTCAAATTAATTACTTTCTTTAATATGTATATACAAAATATGTAATATTAGAAAAAAATATTGGAAATAGATTATAGCCACTAGATATTTAAAACAAATGCTAGTTAATATAAGGTCATTCCTGCCGTTCCCATCATTATAGTTTGCTACTTCGACTCTGAGAGGCATGTGTCTCTAAATACCGATGGGAAGAGGGCTAATGCACTCAGGTCCTGCATTCGAGGCACGTTGTTGGCCGCTGTGAGATGCTGGCCTAGATGGGCTTTTGACAGGGCTCTCCTTTATGTTCCCCAATATAAGTTATTACAATGAAAAACAGTGCGTCAATTTTAAATTCTTGTCTGCAGCTTCTAGCTGAGAGCATGTTTTTTAGGCTGCCCGCTCCCCTTCCTGTTCTGTGCACTTTTCACAAATTCACTGTCAGGAAGGTCAAATCATCCCCTATTGACACAATCAAAGCAACGAGTTTTTTCAACTGTCAGGGTGTAAATAAACTGCCTTCCCCACTCCGCCCATTGAATACTGGTAAAGCTCTCCATAGATGCGATGCAACTACAATATACGCCTTAATCCCAACTCCTTTGTTTGGTTGCACAGATCACTGAAAATGTGCCACAAGAACATTTTGACTATTGCATGACACTCCCGCCAGTGACTTTTCAGCGACACTGCCCTGTCTGCAAGTAATAGGTGGAAGTGGCAGCCTTGCTATGATGGTGAGCACACCTTAATGCAGGTGCAGTAGCTATGGTACTATTCTCTGCATGTTTTCATCTATCTAGAGGTGTGCTCCCATGCAGGAGATACAGGCTTGGAGTCGAACATTGTGTGAGGAAAAAATGTCACTCAGGCAAGGATTTTCTTTTTCCCGCACTCTCATGTAGCCAGCCCACATGCCCTTGAAAACCCTCTCTGAAGAGTCAGGGACAGTGTGCCCTCTGTTGAGGGGGCTGCAGCAGGAAACAGAAACTGCCCTTATTCAAGTGAAAGCACATTGCCCAAGAGTAGGAAAGTGAACAACTTGTAGATTTTTTATTTTTATTTTAAGTCATCACTGTAACTGCCTCAACCTGTGTCCGTTATTTAGTTTGGAACATGGTTTGTCCATTTGTCTGTTTTCTATGCATTCTGATGCATCTCGAGATAGTGTTGCCAAACTCAGAATAATGGTTCCTGAGATGGGGGTGGCAATTTTTGTTGTTGTTAGGCCTCCAGCTTCCATTCTGAATCAAGATGGCAGACCAAAACGTGACTTTGGCAAGACTTTGCCTGCTTTTTGGCTTAGGTTCAGCTGCCTCTGATCATTGCCAACTTGTCATGAGGGTTCCCAAGGTGAGGGCGACAGTCTTCATCTATGTTTGGATGCCAGGTGCCATTTTGAATCAAGATAGCAGACCAAACTGTGACTTCACTCAATTTTTGGCGTGACAAATCCAAACTCACAAATACCATCCATTTAAATACCATCCATTTAAAAACCACAATACATTTTTGGTTTCCAAAAAATCCTGGGGAGCACCAGGAATTCCCTGCTAGTATTTCACAATTGCTGAAATGTGTGAAATCTATACTGTTTCTTTTTAGTCGTATTAATAAATAGTATGTAGTACACTTGACCCAATATTTTTTCTCTCGGTATATGTTAAGTGCATTAGTACCTGGAACATCGCAGGGTGGGTAAGGATCTTTGTCTTCATCTTCCCCTTCTCCGTATTCATTTATGGTAACCTATTACAAGAACAAAAACACTTCAGAAGAAAGGTAAATGGGAGATGTAAACTGATGCAACACGCTAAACCAAGCCACTCTTTTTCCTGTTCTGCCCTCCGCATAGCAGCCCCACCCCAATCCCAACACTTTACAATTTTTAATTAATTCAATAATTCTGGTTAGAGAAATAAGCAGTAAAAAATGTGCTTACAGCTGGATTGTCTCATAAAGAGCCCATGCAGCTTGGGATAAGTCAGAGGTCAGCATTCCAATGATTTCGATTAACTCAAATTGTTAATCTTTCAGTAAACCAAGTATAAATAAGCAATTAAAAATCAATATTTATTATGTTAGAAAATAAACCTTTTACTCCATCTATTATTTTAATGATACTGTCCAATAAAATATAGCAGGTCCTAAATAGACACGTTGCAAATATTATCTAATTTGCATCTCTAAACACACACACACACACACACACACACACACACACACAGTAGAGAAGATCTGGGGACAGTCGATGCAAGCATCTGGGCAGAAAATCCTCTTGCTTGTGGCCTTGAGGCTTGATACAAAAAAGCCATAGGCACCCAGCATATGAGAGGACTCAGTGCATTCTAAGAACTTGGCAACCCACATGAGGTACAACCACAAGCACAGATGGAGACCAGTCAGTTTGGAGTATTGGCAGGTGTCTGTGCATTTAAAGAATATATAGCACACAGAAGTGAAAATAAGGTACCTTAGCATCCTTGCCCTTCTTTTGTTCACCTTCTGGTTTGTCCCCCTTTTTAGTATCCAAACTCTCTTTTCTACAAGGAAGAAAAGAAGGGGGTTGGGAAAATAAAGGAGCTCATGTGTGGTAGCTGAGAAAAAAGTTAAATGCCAAGCTAGGCACCTACATAGCTGCAGCCAAACCAAAGCTTTCCCAACCTCACCACTGCCTGACTGCACCCCTCCTCTGTCCCAGCAAGTGCAACACTGCTGCCACTGGAAATGCTTTATCTGCTACTGAGATAGCTTATGTGCATATTTTACTGTCTGTACACATGGTAGTAATTAGGCTTTCAATTACGGCTTACTGAAGCAGGTACAATGTGGATGTCTTCACACATGAGGGAGTGCATTTCCCCCCATCCTCCAGGTAGGAGCAATATCATTAAGTTAAAATTCCAAAATCTACAGCCAGGCAATACCTTTATTGGGAGCAGCCAAAATGTTACAAAAGCTTAGGAAACTTTAGAGTTCCCAACAATTCCTCAGCAGGCAAGATATTACACAAAGCATTTGGGGGGGGGGTTAAAATTAAAAAGTAGCATAAAAATTAGGCTGTTGGTGTATCCAATAGGTCAGCTTATACATTCACTTCCAAGATGTTGACTTCAGGCTGAATAAGTCCCTATCTGGTACTGCAGTATGGTAATGTTGGTAACCCCTGAGAAGGACATATTAAGCCTGCAATCTCCATCTTGGAACTGAATCTACAAGCTGACCTGATGACTACAATAAAATCCCATTTTCTGTCCTTGTTCCGCCACCGTCACGAACCGTTGAATACTCAGTCTTTAAAATAACAACGTTGTGTTGAATCCAACTAAGTCATTGTGCATGAGGAATGACTTCTCTAGCCCAAGGGAACTTTCCCTCACTCTCCTTCTGCTGTGTGCCCTCTGCATTGGAGGGAGGAAAAGTTCCATTGTACTTGTGGAAGTCATTCCTCAAGCACAATGGTTCTGTAGGATACAACCCATAGCTTCTTGCATAACTCAAGATAAATTGTAATATGCAGTAGATTTCCACAAGTTAAATGACTATGGTGGAGTCATTAAACAAGAGTTTAACGTTGCCAGCTGACCATTTTCAGAACTGAAAAGACATGTCTAATGCCTATTTGTAGTGATACGTGTGCTGTTTTAATAGGGACAGGACCTCCTCAGTTCACACCAGCTTTCCAAAGTGCTTACAGTATCCCTGATGCTTTAGGAAATCTTTACAAAAGAACCAAAGCAGAAAATCAAGAAAGCTGCTTTCACATGTACTGTGCCATTTCTTT